ATATATATATATATCGCTACCGAAGTACTTGTGACTTTGAGAAGTTACCAATTTCTCACGTTATAACAATACTTATTATTAATTTCATTTTTAATTATATCTGTAGACTAGCAAACGAGTATAAGTCAAAGCCTTATGCAGAAACTTGTAACGTTTACAGTTTAAAGTGCAATTTTAAGTGCAAGATCAGATGTCAGATTTTAGACAGTTAATTAAAGTTAAAAGTTGAAAATTAGATAGCAATATTATACAAATTCGTAGGTTTGAGAATGTCATGTGAAAATTAGTATCTTGATAGAAAATTGCTTTATACGTAAGTTAAATTTTGTTTACGTAAATTTGCATTTCAAGTATTTCTTATAAATGTATAAAAACCCACGGTCTATTGGCAACAATTTATTTCATCCCGTTGTACTTGCAAAGTGCACGTTATTCGTTTGAAAATATCGTATTGTTTCTTGAAGAAAATTGACTTGCACCCTCTTGCCTGTCCATCGCAGGTATAATTTTTGACGCGGTATAAAAATACATTTGGGCCAAATCTCTTTATTTACAATCGTATTCAATTATAAAAATATATCAAATCCCCGATGGACCCCCTTCCTTTCTTACCATTGTCCCATTTCACGATCAGGTTAACGCATTCTACGCAAAACGATCATCCACCATTCGTTTTTAGTATTTTATCGTATTTCTACGCGTGTTGCATGCTCGATGAACCAGTTGAACACATTCTAGCGACAATTCAACGAAAGAAATTTTCTTTTCTTAGTAGAATCTGCTGATAAATATCGAGAGTGCAAGGAGGAGCGACGCAAATGTGAACGAACTTGCGGAAGAGGTAGTACTTGTGAAATTATGTATCCAGCCTTCGATGTTACTTTGATGGAGCTCAAGCCATTGCAAGTTTCTTATCGCCTTCGTCACGGTACTCTTCAGAGACTCAGCATTCAGGTTTCCCAGTCTCACCAAAAAGTTGCTCAACTGTTGGACAACAAACAGTCATATATTATTAATTGTTAAAGGAACGAAATATTCGTTGAAAGTGGTACTGGTTGATCAAATGTATAAATAACTCGCTATATAAAGTTGTGGGTAGTTTTAAAATGGTTCAACTAAGATATACTAAGATTACGAACAGAAAAGTTTTATATAATATCAATAACCAGATGAAATCATAAAATGAAAATTACTCTTTCATTATGGAAAGTATAGAAACTCTTCGTGAATATATTATCTGTGTTGTATAAAAACATTTTGGAATTTTATTAACACTGCACTGAAATTCGACTTATTAAGACTTATATCGAACGAGTTTAAAAGAAATCTAAAAATAATTTCTGCATACGTTACATGAAATTCTACGAAAAACTTAACAAGATACTTCAAAAACCAATTACTATTTATCATATTTATTATATTAATAATATTTTGTCTTGATAAGTCTAGTACTATATCAAATATGGTACTTATTATATGCTTTTTAATATTTATCACTTAATATTTACGTTAAGTTTGTGTTAAATATTAATGCAAGACAAAATATTCTACATACAAACCATTATAATTGAAATGATAATAATTAAAACAAATAGATTCGTATAATTACATGTCTATTTAAAAAGAAATCAATATTAATTTTGAAAGGAAATTTGTTATCATATCTAATGTTTTGAAAAAAAAAATGTGTATCTTTCAAGCAATTGTCAAAGAAAAAAGGAAGTCTGAAATCATATTAACAGATTTGATTGTTAAACCCTTACCTGTGAAGGGTCAAGAATCATAGTGGTTATTCTTCTGACGTTTCTCGTGAAATTCTATTTTTCTCAAGTCTTACAATGAAATATTCTCCGTTTCTCAATAATAAATCAAATTTTAACAATGATTGGCCATTAAACATACAGAGCCTCCAACAACGTTGAAAAATCAACAACGTTATTAAATCAAATTAATAAAAATTCAGGCTTACACCACTACGATTCTCAGCTTTCCCTATTTCAACGCTACTGTACCTGCATATATTGTTCCTTAGTCGTAACTGCGCTTGCGATGGTGTTCGCGGTCGACGTGATCTCCTGATTGCCATTTTTCCTGAAGTCAAAAAAGAGAAAAATTCGGTTAGAAACGTAAAAGGAAAGAAACGTTGAAACAAATATCGACAATAACTGTTCATTAATTACCATGACTTTATGGTCTCGTAATTGTCAACCAGTACTTTCAGAGCGATATTGGCACCTTGCGGATGTCGAGACACCACGTGCGAGGCGGCACTCGAGAACGACAATGTTGCATTCTGCTGGAGAGACAGGTTCAAAAATCGTTCCAAAAGTTTCTCCGATTGGCTGCAAGCCAGCAGGGGATATAAAGCCAACCTCTCCTCCTCGTCCTTTATTTGCAACACCAGCGAGGTCGCGTTGTTCCATTTACTCTCGGTGGCATTTCTTATTCCAGCGCAGAGGACATTGTTCCTCGAGTCGTCGTCGAATCTTTAAATAAAGTAACAATCTCTTAATGTTACGCTTCGCTTTTAGTTTTTACCTTTATTGTAACTTTAACAACACGGACGTGTTATATTGGGTGTAAAAATTGTAATAATCGTACCATTTTACTAACTTACTGTTATCATATCGCTTGTTACAACAACTTTCATGTTACGATTCTACAGTACATCGTGCCTTTTCAACTAATTCTATTTTTATATATTTAAAATATATTTTTCTAGTTTCTATAATTTTCGCTGATTTGACTGACAAATGGAAATCGTTCGAACGTCCTCCTTGTCACACCACTGACAATAAGGTTTTCGTCGATCAGAATGTTAATTCTTGATTCTTTAATTTTTTCATTAATCATTTATTCGGCGTGTGTTATTTTACGTATTATGGATAAATATTATAATTAATGGATAAATAGTTAATGGATCATAGCCAGTCTCTCCGTAATTTCTCTGAGCTCGTTGAAATTGAATTAAATTTAAACTCGATTGAGTCCAATTCAAGGATTAAAAAGTCGAGTGAATGGAAAATTAAGAAATTACGAAAAATTGCGAATGGAAGATGGAAATGGCAACAACTCACTTTCTATTGGGATTGTTCAGCCACTCGTTGAACTCTTTCGTAGCATAATTCGTGCACTCTTCGACATTAGCTCTGCAAGCCCATTCTATCGCGTTTGTCCTAAGAAGTTTCACGAGATCGGTATCGTTCTTTTGCGGCTCGTATTTTACTTCACTCGTCACGGATAACAGTATAGTCTTAATGTATTGCTGCAATAATTTTGAAAGTATCTTAGTTAGTAGTGTAATTTTTGTAAAGAAATATCTAATGTGTGTACGTCGACTATTTTTCAGATTTCATAGAAAATTAGTTGCTGTCTGCTTTAAAATAAAAGAAGAACGTGCAAGTTCATAAATAATCTTGTTTGTAAAATTTTTTTT